TTTCACTGAAACTCTTTTAACACAAAATGTTCTTTGTCCTAATTAAGGATGGAGATAACTAAAACTGGGGGGAGAGGGAAAATAAGCTGGCATAACGAGGCCCACTTGATTGTTCACTGGATAAAAAAAGAGAAGCAGGGTTAACTCAGCAGAGTATAATTTGCTGTGTCCTGTTTTCAGTCAGTGCCTCGCAGACAGAAAGCAGCTCAACTGGAAGCAGGGTGTAAGCCTGGAGACTGATTAGTTAGGAAGCTATTGCTAAAGGCGGTAAAAGAGCACAATCTGTCCCGCGAGCTCCCTCACACAGCAGTTTCCTCTGCCCTGAGAGACTCCACTGGAAATCCCTTAATGCACTATGCCCTTCATTTATTTTTGCTACTGGACATTTGAGAGCATTTAAGAATGCTACTTTCTGAACGCTTGCCTTATGATGGATCACACTGAATATATTTTTATTCCCCCCCTCTGGTTACAGGCAGTCCAAGAGTACCATCTACAGTACAGTGTGTGAAACCAGATGTTTCACCTGGTATCTTAACAGTCTGATTAACCAGGACTGATTAACCAACTTATGCTTTAAGATGATGCCACTTAAGAGCTCTTTATGCTAGCTATAAATATTTGAAGTGCCCAAGGCACACGACTCAGTCAAAACCTATATAATTAGCTCTGAATTTCAATGGAACAAATAGTATTCTGCTGACTAACACTGCTCTTATTTACGTTTTCTTTGCCGCATACATTAAAAATGCATTGTTTACCAAACAGTTAAAAGTGGATGGTATTAATTCAAAGTACTGCTTGCGTTCTCTTCATTTAAGTGCATCTAGCTAAACAATGCCACCAAGGCAACGATAATTATTTGGTCAAGCAGTTCCACTATAAGAAGGTCTAGGGGGTGCTTATACCATACATCATCTGACTCCTTTAACATTAACGCCAGTTCAAATATTAGCATCCCTGTGTACTTAGGGTAGTATTTCATTCTGACTGGACAGAAAGTGTTGCAGCCGGCATTCACCAATTTTCACAGGCGAGGCTTGTCCAGTCCAGGGCCTAGCAATGGATAACTGGCACCCCCTAGCGTTGGAACACGTGGAAGAGCCTTTGGGATGCTTCAGCAGGTGGGGGCCCTCCTGTCCAGAGACTAGGGGTCTGCAAAGGGACTAGGGGAGCAAACGACAAGGTCTAGCCGCTTTGCTCTAGTATCGTTGGGTCTGGTGTCCCTGCCCAAGAATTGCTTTATTTTTTTCCAAGTGTGTTTGTAAAATACTGGGATAAAAATAGGACTGCCATTCTCCCGCACTTAAAATTATTGTTGAACTTCCTCCCAGCCCTGGAAGAGATTGTTCCTTAAGTAGACATGTGACTTGTTGAATCTGTTAAATCCCAAAAAGTTTGCAAATCATAGGTGTGCTGTTCTGGAGGAAAACCTTTCAGTGAGGCTTGAGGTAACATACAGCCTCATTAGGCTGCCTTTCTGTTTCTTAGTCAACTCCATTTAACCTGTTTACTGGTGGCTTTGTAGGAGTACATGCCTGCAGCCACTTGCCTCCGTATGAATGCTAAAAGATCCCTTCTTGGATTTGCTGAGAAATGGATAAATACATGGCGTGAGTTCCATAGTATCTGGCTTCGCTGCTGCCCACTGGCTAAAGGGAGTGATGTGGCCAGGGGTCCTAACATAGGTGACCCACTTTCTGCCTTCCAGGAAGCGTGTGAAGCTAGTTTGATCCTCCAGTCAAATACTGCCTGAATTAACCGACAGTGGTTTCATACAGGAAAGTTTCCCAGCTCTGGCCGGACATTTCAGTCAGTCAGTCAGTCATAGCTTTTATATCCCACCCTTCACTGTGTCTCAGGGTGGCGATACAATAAAATACAATAAAGTTCAGCATCAAAACACACAGTAAATAAAAGCCAATCCTAAAACAGCATTAACATTTTAAATAACGGGAAATAAAAAGGGTTCTCCGGCATGTGCTCTATTAGTGAGCTGTGGCTCTTTCCTCAGAGCAACCAAAATAGCCTTGTTATACTGACATTCCTTGGGTCGGCAGGGGAGTAACTCAGCCACAGTTGGTGTGCACATTTCAGAAGCTTTGCAGCAAAAGACCTACCCCCGCAAAAAAAGGGCCCCCAGGACATGGGTCTACTTAGCATTCAACCCAGTAAGGCCCTCTGCCCCTTTTTACTTTTGCCCAAATGAGAGAATGGCAACGGCTCATTCATATGGGAAGAGAGACGCATGAAGGATTCCATGCCGCCACTGCACTATATGGGCATGGTCAGCCATCTGCTCTGCCCTGACCCTGTTTGCAGAATACTGCTGATCATGTTTGGAAAAATGCTTCACAGCCTGCCTATGTCGACCATGTCAAGAGGCAGTGGCGGACGCCCACACTAGGATGCACACCTTAACATGGTCAGCAGGCTTGAGAGTGGTGGAGAAGCCGAGAGCGATGCTGTCAGGAGCCAGGAGCAGCCGCGGTGGCTGGAAGTGGCACTAGTGGAAAACCTTTCACAGGCAACCTAATTCTGGTTGGCATTGCACAGAAGGCAACGGTCCACCACTTCCAAACCTCCTTCCCTTCGAAACCCTGTGAGGAAGCAAGTGATGGTGCCACAAGACGGGCCCCCCAGGTCAAAAGGCACTCAGTGAGTTACTGGGAAAGAGCAAAGGACGTGTATGAATTGTGGTGTACTAATAACACAACGTGATCAAAGCCGAGAGGGAGTCCAGTGGTTGATACGCACAAAAGTGAAAGGAAAGTCCGGTGTTGAGCAACGCATACAACTGCTGAAAGACAATTCCTATAGCAACATGAAAACAAGAACCCTAGATGGATGGCAGAAGAAACATTCACGGTTGCAAAGGACATTGAAGAAGCAAATACAAAAGGTGAAAGAAATAGAATTAGAATCCTGAATGCAACTTTTCCATGACTTGCACATTTGGACAAAAGTATTACAATGACCAGTACAAAGAAATACAAGAGAGCAACAAAGCAGGAAGAACAAGAGACCTCTTCCTGACGATCCAAGAAATCAAGAGAAATTCATACCTAGACTGGGAATGCTGAAAAGATAAACAAGGGAACTAATATTTGACCAGGATAGAATAAAGAGAATGGGGAAAGAATATACAGAAGAACTGTACAGAAGAGATAAAAAGAAGACACTTCTTCGAGGTGAAATCATACAAAGAAAAGCCTGCAATATTAGAAAGTGAAGTGAAAGCTGCTATGAAAGCAAAGAATAAAACACCTGGAGTACATGGGAGATCGGTAGAACAGTTCCAAGCTGCAGGAAATGAATCAGCTCATGTCCTAACGAGAATATGCCAACCAACATGGACGACAGGACAATGGCCAACAGGAGGGACAAGTGCAGCGGATGTTTGGCTGGGGCTCAGATTCACTGGAGATCCGCTTTCCCCAGCCAGGGAAAACCCACGCATGGCAAGGCTGCCGAGACACGAGCTGGAGGGGTGCTCTGCCACCTTGTCCCTTGCCTGGGAACCAGCCTGGGAACCATGTGCAGACTCCTCCTACCTGCAGAAAGCCTACCTGCACTGAAGCAACCCCGGATGGGGAACATGCCTGAAGAGTACTCCTCCGGCTCATGCTATGACCTGGGTAGTTCCTCTTGCACTCCTCCGCTGAGGAAGAGAGGTGTCCAACAATGTACTTTCTTGCTCTTGCCTGGCACACTACAGGGAATCAGAAGACCTGAGCAAGCTAAGCTGCTTTAGGAGAGCTCCTGTCCTGAAAGCCCCCCTGAAATATTTTAAATTAGATTAAGGAAAATATGATTCTTTGCCCTAGTACCCTACACAAGGCAGGCAAGGGGCCTTTCCCGAGGCCCCATGGACTGGACTGGCCAGCCAACTGGGCCAGCTTTTGCCCAATGGCTGGAAGCTCTCCATCCCTGACATACAGAACTCCTGTAAAAAGGTGTCTGACGGTGCTTTAATTCTCATAGGTAAAAGAATCACAGTCCGGGAAGTTCGTGAAATGCACTCATGCTGGTTTTTCTTTATGGTTCAAGTAAACACTACGTTGAATAAAAGCTCCTGACCAGGATTATGGGTAGATCAAAAAAAGAGAAAAGTTATTTCTATACATGAGCAGCTTAATGAATTCACAGTTACAAGCTGGAGTAAGGGACAGAAGCTATCAAACATCACCCAGGATAACTAAATAGAATATCCATTTACAAGGTACAGCAAAGGCAGAAGAAAGACAGAATAATGCTGCCATTATTATTATTATTATTATTATTATTATTATTATTATTATTATTATTATTATTATTAAACTTGGGAGTTCTCAGTGGTTGTCACTGGCTTACCATTCTTAGATACATATCCTGGACAAGATACACTAGTATTTAAGCCACAGAACAAACCATGGAGAGCTTGCACGAGATCACTCAGCATAAAATAACTTAGACATGCATGACTTAAAGTAGTGCAATGAACTGTACTACCTGGGCACATTAGTTGCCTTCAATGGATGATGTATCCTGTATTTTCAGATCACTGGGACTGTGTCATCTGTACCATTCTAACCCTATCCAGTATCTACCCATATTCCCCTATGGCTTTTGTGAAATTACTCAGAGAAGAGAAAGAAATTATTATTCAATTATGAAGCAGTACTTCTCTCCAGTTTATGAGTTAAGCAAATCTGCTGCTTTAATTCATAAACTTGCACGTTTCATTTCAAGAGCCAAGGCCATACTTTGCTAATTTCCTGGATTAAGTAAACTGACATGCATAATTCCTCAGATTGCAGAGACAGTGAAAATGCAGGCCGGATAGGTAAAGACAGAAAAATATCTAACTGTGCAAATGTTAAGCAAGAGTTATATTTAACATTAGTCCTATACTTTATTGCACTATTCCAGATAGATAGGTACACGAGGAGTATCCTGGCCTCTCACGGAAGTATAAATCAATAGGAATCAGAAGTAAGAACATGTGATTTATGAATTACCATGGTTACACGCTTTCAAAACAGGTCTCTCAGAGGTTGGGCTGAGATTCTGTGGCACATCTGTAAGAAAGAAAGAAGCAGCAGCAGCAAATAAACAATCTGTCTTCTATTAGCATTCGCACAGAAGAATATTGCCAAAGGGACCTTTTCCAGATTAAATATCTGGAAGAAAACTTGCACTTTGTACATTTTACAAGCTATCATGTAATATTGTTGCTCCAAGATTAACACGCGTCCCTAGAAGAGTCATATCAGAAATAATCAAACTTTTACTCAGGTCCTACTTGGGGAGACAGAGATATTGCAGACAAAGCCTAGAACTGTGGAGCAGAGTGAAAGAACTTTAGCCTAGAGAATAATGCTTCATTTTTTTGATTCGCAAGACAGGTCTGAATGTCCTTTTTGAGGGCGGAGGCTTATCTCAGCCCAAGCCCTTGGTTAAGGGGAGAAAGGACTGCTGTGGTGAGAAGGCCTGCTTCAGCTATGGGCATTAAAATAATGGGTATTTTAAAGGACTCTGGTCATGCTGTATATTCCAGTATAAAGGAATTAAATCTGTTATCCCAGGAACAAGTGAAGTATGGGACAGAGGGGTGATAATTAGTCCCCAACCTGTCATCTACGCACACAGAGCAAAAGTTATGGGTGTGGAATGGGGGAAGGAGGCGAAGCCTTTCTGAGAGCAGGCAACATTCTGGTGGCAGTGGCCAACAGAGACGCCTTGCTATTTCTATAGGTGTCCTTCCCAGCTTTAGCTATAAAGGCAGAGTAACTTTCCATACAGACGGAGTATTTTCAGTATGTGTTGCAAATCTGCTACTCTCTAGGACGTCCCAGGAAAGGGAAAATTGCTTTTGGATTCCATTATTTCTGCCTGCAATGATTTCAGAGTGCCACATCCACATGGCATACAGAATTCTCGTCTGTTGCCGGGCTGATCCGTGGTTTAGTGGGATGTGCTGAACGAGCCATGGACCATTCCTCTGCAGACTGTTTCCTGTGCAGAGTGGGAAGGCCAGCTTTTCTTTCCCAACACAAGCCAAAGCCATAAGCCCCTGAAATGTGCCTCAAGGAACTTCTCTGAAATGAAATTCGGCCTTCGGGCTGAAAGAGGCTTGCCATTCTGACAAAGTGTTATGTAAGCCTTTCTCAAACTGCTATGCAACTGGGAATGAGTGAACAAGAAGCAGGGAACTGGTGGAAAGCATGGACAAATGTAGAGTCCTTCAGTGGGTGACAATGAATGTTGTAATCCTTGTGTGCAAGGGTCATTTCAGTTTATGCTTTAAGACAAGGTGCGCCATACAGCACCGTTCATTTAAAAAGTATATTGTATTTGCTGTAAAATAAATTCTTTTCTTCCCACTTCTTGTGTACTACTTCTCTGGTCACCCTGAATCCTTCCTTATCCGCTGCATGTCTGAACGGCCTCTGGTCATCCTTTGTTGCATCTTTTTATCATCGGAACATTTGAAGAACCTCATTTTCACAGGCTGCACTATATTCAGCACACTGATTAGTAAAATATGATACTATGCCAAAGTGTCAACTCGGCTGCATTTTTCTTTGCAAGGAAATGATTAACAGGACTAACACCACTTGGAAAAAGTTCTGGCCTGTGGTATTGCATCAGGGAGTGTGCTCTTTAAAAAAACAACAGTCCTGTGGCATAACTGCATGGAAACTAGCAAGGAAAAAAGGTATTTACCTTTAAATCTCGTGGCCCGTTTTCTTCGGTCTCGGAACGCAGCGCCTGACTGCAAGGCCTCCAATAAGCTATCCATCACCCCTGTCTCATCACCCTCTGTAAAAAGAGATGGAGGGAATTCCTTCAGCATTCAGGGTTACCATAGCAATGCCAGAGGATTTACAAGGATTGAGGAAAGACTGTAGCAATAAAATGCTGGCAATTCCAAATTCAGACAAGCCTTTAATTTACTCATAAATCAGATCTCCAAAAAGTCAGCCCTGTTAAGTGTTCATACTGCGTCCACTAAAGCAGACCAAAGTCCATTTGATTCACTTCATACCACTGCATCCCTAAAACGAGGCAGAGCCGCAACTTTAAACGTAATGCAACGCCATTCATATGCTCCGACATTCCTCTGAACCCAGAATGAAGCCACCGATCTTCATAAGCCCCACTTCCCTTACAGAAGCTGGCTGTTTTGTACAGCACCATTCCCTAAGACGAAATTTATTATTTCCATGATGCCTATTAGCTCTACAGATACTGCTGGCCTGAATAAATCATGAAAATTGCATGCCATCATTGAGCCTTTGAGTACCCACTTACTGAAGGACGTCACTCATTATACTTGGATCCTCTACACTCTTTCAAAATCATGCAACACTGCACTGGAAAAGGACTCTTAGGCTTGAAACAATCCACTTTCCCCCTGGAAGAACACAGTGTGATTTTATAACACTACCTGAATAATCTCGAGAGCTACTTATTGTAATTATGCACATACACTGCCCTCTTGACAATAATTTTCCAATTATAACTGGAGTTAGTTTTTTCTTAATGTGCATGCATACATTTACTCTGACATCTATAAGCTAATCTTACCTAAAGATTTTCTTGGACTACATATTACAGCGGTATGACTGGCAATTCTTAGTGCTGGATTCACTTTGAGGAACTGGTTTGAGAATATTTGGGATGAAGCCTTAACCGAGTGTTTAAGAGCCCCTCCATATTTTGGGGGAGGCAGGAAATCACATTAAAAGCCTGGTATCCTTTTATCAGGTGTATGAACATCTAGACCACTCAGAGCAGGCTGATTCAGGGTCTCTTGGAAGACCCTGAATCAAAGTATTAAGGTGCACGTGGAGGAAGCAGACAATGCAACGGACAAGGATGAGATTCAGCAACCCGAATGGATACAATGTGACGGGCTGAACTTGCAATCTGCAGTACTTTTCTGGTTTTACTGTTTGCCAATATATGAAATTGAGTTAAAAGCCAGAAAATACATATGCATGCATTAGTATCAAATAATTGGAGAAACCCTGATGTTTGCTGTAGTTCTCATGGTTAACCTTGAAGATTTTGATAAAATGGCAGTTTATAAGCAAAAATATGTTGTTATTGTTACCATTATCACTGGTTTGAGTGTTAAGTTTATAACAATGCACTTCTCAGATGAAAAGAAAATTGAATTGTTTTCTAAGCCAACTAATGAAATACCAAATGTCTCTTAAAGAACTTTGTTATATGCTAACTGAAACTTCTACATATCCCTGTACTTGTACAGAAAAACATCAAAGAAGTTCTTCAGCACACCAGGATTTTTTTTTATTAAACTGAAATTTTATCATGCTCATCATACAGCACAACCTAAATGGTGCTTGTTTGTAAGACAGAAGATTTGCCATTCTGAACACAGTACTTAAAACGGTGAAATGTGTATGGCAGAAGCCACATGCAACTTCAAATCAGTGCGACTAAAATGGCAGATGTGGATTAAAATCTTTTCCTCTGCTCACATCACGCCTCTAAAACCAAGAAAAAGCAACACAGAAAGTAAAATAATCCTGATTGTCTCCGACTCCCTCCATCTATTTAGTTTGTTCCTTTATATTTAATAGGAATATATTTAACGGAAACCATTTCTGCTTGATAGTGGCATCTTTATGATGGAACATGATCCCACAGTGCTAAGTTCATGCACAGTCTGGACCAAATATGCCAGCCACATAAAATGCTACTGACATCCATCACCTACTTCATACAGAATACAAACTTCTCCAGTTGATCATCCCTGAGCTGTGTTAAAAGCTGAGCATCACATAACCAAGAAGTGGTTCTGAAACTCAAAAAGGAAACAGCTTCTGAGTCTTCTGCAACCTTCCGAGGCACCTGAACAATCCATAAGAATACCAAGAACCTTGGGAACTCATGACCCAGAGCCACTGCTGGCGAGTATATTGTTTCTTTCAAAACTGCAAAAGCTGCAAGACGAGCGCTTCACTAAAGAGCTGAAAAGAAGGAACAGGAGGCCATTTAAATCAAGGAAAGAGAAAACATTTTGGATTCTCCCCTTTGTGACTGAAGCTGGAACTTTTCCTGAAATCTTCACATTTTAAAATTTGTTCATTTAATTTTGTTTTTAAAAGCCTTTTAAATAAATCAGATGTGCAACTGCAAATTATTTTGTGTGGTTTGCATTTTCCTGAGTCCATGAAGTTTATGTGATTGATCAGTTCTGCTTTTAAGAGTCCAGTGAATGAACACCTGCTTTGTGTTACTCTCTAGAAAAACCAAGTTGTTCTCCACATTACCTGTTTTCATTTCAAGCAATTGCTTTTTCTTTTGCTGTCTTTCTAATTTTTCTTTTTCCGCCTTTTCTTTTGCTATTTGAGCACGTCTTTGCTTTTCTTCTGCTTCTTTTTTTCTCATATTATCCTTTACTGCTTGCTAACGAAAAGTTACATCAACATAAAACAAGTCAGTATACATAAACAGTATGCATAACCATACAAACATTTTTACCATAAGGAAATATCATCATTCTTTTGTTGTTAAAATTACTGTGTTGCTAAGGTTAGTTGCAAGTGCTGCCAAGATCTTGTCTGCTCACTGGAGGAGTCAGGGAAGTTTCTCCCCTCGTGTTAATTAAGCTTAACAGTCTATCAACAAAGCACGGGAACCATACAGGACGATTTCATCTTTTTGTCAGAGCAGCCTTGATAGATCATTTACACTTCGAAACTACTTCAGTTTCATCTTTTACAACAGGTATGTACAGATGCAGTTACTAACTCTTGATTCTCATTTTTCTAAACCCTTTTTTAGAAGTTTAAGGGATTCATTTGCTGCACAAATCATTCTACAATTAACTGACACCAGCCGGTAATAAGATAGACCTTCCTTTGAGAGTAAACCAAGTATGACTTGTTATGGGTGGGCAACTTTGCAGACCAAACTCCTCATCTCTGTGTTTGGTCCCCATCTCTCTCCTCTTCTCCCACACTGGCATATACATGAAAAGTTTCAGTTTTTTCCATTTTGGGGTTGTGTTATCCTCTTTTTTACTTGGGCACACAACACTGTATTGATGCATAAAAAGGGAGTCTGCCTGCAAGACTGCAAAATGATGAACACTCAGCTCTGAATGTCCAAAATAGAGGGAATGATTTAAACCCATACTAGCAGCTGCTGTTTCAGCTCCATTAATTTCTCATTTGAAAGAATGACCCATCTTGTATGTTAACTTGTCCCTATACACAATCTAGTCACTGAAGAATATTCTTATCTTTCCTCTTCAGGAGGTACAAAAAGCACTGATACTCCTGCAAAGTTTAACATTTTACTGTTATATATGTTTACCATGAACATCGATCTGAAGTTGTTCAAGTCAGTCAGAAATTCTTCCACCGAGACCTTCTTCAAATCGATGGCATAAAATTCCATCACGTTCCGATAGAGTTTTTCCATATTCTCATGCATCCTGGCAAGTTTCTGAAACTGGTCCTTTGCTTGAACAACAAAGGTGTATTAGGCGTGTTAAGGTTACAAGGTGAGAGCATGAGACTGGTTAAAGGTCCAGGTTCAGAACCAGGGCAGAGTCATCGAAAGGGGAAAAACCATTGATTTGAGAGCAGCACTTTGAGCCACCCACAGACACCAATCCACCAGCAAGACCAGGCTGAAGTGCCCACAGAGCTATTTCATCCCAGTGCAGGTGAACGGAATGAATCTTACATTCACTTACATTCACATAGCCTTGCTGTGAAATGGCTATGTGCCCCTCACCAAGAACCCTCGAGGAGTCAAGAGCCTTGGCAAGGTGTGAGTATTTCACCTTTTCCAGCCAATTATCAGCAGGGGTGGGGATTATTCTCGATACATATCCCAAGATTGTGCTGAGGGTTTTTGTATAAAAAGAATAGCAGGACATTAATAAATACAAAAACCGCCTTTCCACAGTGCCAGTTCACCAACTGAAGTCGGGTGGATTCTGCAACGTATGTCAGCTAACAGGCTAGTGCAACAAGCATCCACCAAGCTACTCAATGTGCTAATCCTCTGCAAGGTCTTTATTTATTTATTCATTCATTTTTTTATTTATATGCCACCCACTAATCCATATGGATTCTCTAGGTGGCTGACCATTTACTGACTGTTCTTTCCAAATAAACTTTCCTTCCTGTCACAGCTGCTGTACTAAACCAAATACTACAACAGCAGTGCACATATTTCCTAGTACATAAGTTTTATTGGACTTGAATGATGTGTGTATTCCAAGCTAAAGACCAAATTCAACCAGCATTTCAGGTTAATGCAATTGGAGCGACACAGAGACACCCCCATCCTGCATGTTTGTGTGTATAAAAGCCATATTATCTACTGGAATCTTCCATTGACATTAGGAATATTGTTCAATATTTTTTCAGGGCTTAAAATTAATAGTTGAAAAACATGTTAATAAAGTTTTCCAGGGAAAATAATTCAGAATCTTTGAGGGCACAGAAAAGTCCTACCACTTGCAACATTCCCCAAACTTCATCACGGACATCTTTTTCTGTGTGTTGGCAATGTATATAAAAAAATAAATTAATAAATCTATAACTTTCCTAAAGTACCAACAGAAACATACGCCATACACCATAATGGGAAGTTACCTTTCTGATGACAGTTTCATACTGAAATTTGATTTCACATCAATGGATCTTCTCACCAAGCTAATACTACCTTACAGATAAAGATCTATACAAATCTCTTTAAAGTTAAACTCACGGTTAAATACACTACTGTGATTAATGAAGCAAAATTACAGATTAGGTTTGGTTGTATAGTTTTAGAATGCTTTATTTCCAAATCTGTCACTTTATTAAGACACTAAGACAACATTCCCCCTGCTATTCTGAAAAAGTAATGAAGTGCAGCATAAATTTTATTAACCTGCTCATAAAATAAATATTCAGCTTCTTAAAAATATAGATTTGTGGTCCTCTGTAATATATCTGTAAATGGGTATAAGAAAATACTGACAAAATTAAATAATTATCAAAAAGCATGTGTCAAGCTAGTATATCTGTATATCATTTGAATAAACAAACACCCTTTTGGGTGTTTAGCAAATAAGAGCTCAGTGCTTTGATAAAAGCATATCCATATTATAAACCGAATACTTAAGCTCCAATACTGCTAAAGCTTCCAATCTTCATTTACCTGGTTTGAACATTTATAAGATCACTGAAATAATTCTAAATGGCTTTCTCTGTAATGTTTGCATAGATTTTTGTTCTAGAAATGATTTCTCTGGAATGTCTATGCACAACAAACAAAGCCACATATTAAACGAATTTAATTGCTTGAAAGTAAAGTGCACAGCTACAACAGACGACCAACTAGGACGATCCAGTGAAGGAAAAGATTCACCAGATTATGTATTCTAATAATACTTAGGCTCACTGTCTGTGGGCATATCTGATTCTGAAAAGAAATAGGAATACAAATCAATCAATCAATTAGATAGCTTGTGCTGTTTAGTGACAAGATAACAGCTCAGGTGCCTCTGGAAGCTAACTGCATGCAGAATGAAAAGAAAAGAAAAGAAGCTTCTGTCTCAACTTCCCTGTCTTGCCTGCTTTTTATTAACAACCATGCCTTTCAAGACATGGGCATCATTCAGCTTCTGCCACAACAAAAGGAGCCAGGACAGGCCCCAGCTTCTTTCTGCTGTGCAGAATTATCTAACCCTTACATCAAAACTCCTTTGGTTTGTAATTTGTCCTAGATTTAGTTTTCCTGGAAGTGAGTTTCTTTAATTAGCAAGCTCAGTCATTACCAGAAACTGCATGTAACTCCACTGTTCCTCAATTATTCCCTGCCTATAGGGAGAGTTAACAGGAGTCAGCTAACTATTCCTTGTTAACAGTGTTTAAAGATCAAACCATCTGTTTAAGTGTCACATGTGGGTTTGGCTAAAATAGTGAAATATTTCTGTGAAGTTCCAATAATGGGAACATGGCCATTTTATAACCGAGACCTTGCCATCTTATAAACAAGAGAAATGCCTGTGAGAACCTGTAGATTGTACCTATTATGTATTTCTATAATAACTAGTGTCTCAAAAGGTATTTTTACACACTGTGCTTATTATAGTCCTTCAATATGAGGATATATTAGAATCCTTCAATATGAGGATTGAGCAAGCAAGGAAAGACACTGGTTTTTGAATGCGACAGACCAACTATTTACAGCCACAAGTTCAATAAGAAACACTTGCAAACTAAAATGCAGAAATGCTACACAAGTGCCAGTAAACCTTGACAACTGCCACTGTAGAAATTTTAACCTTCAACGCGGCATGAATCACTTTTAGGCAGAATTGTTTTAAAATGTGAATGCATTTATTTCCTGCAAACAATGTACTGAACAAAAGTAATATGTGTGGAAATATGTTCTTTGGCCTCAAATAGCCAACGACAATCAATCCCTCTTGGAAGAGGTCATACAAACCTTGTTAGTAACAAGGGAGGCAAGCTAAACTGGAATGTGAACCATATCATTTTAGAGTGGAGGTAGACTTGTTCTTTCTGCTTATTATTAGACCTTCCTGTAGCCCAACAAAAACACTTCATCCTATCTGCTGGCATGTGAGTAATGCGGTACTTTCTTCCTTCATGCTCCTAATACTTGTTCTTACCAAACTACAAAGCAAATAAAAAACAATTCAGATCAAAAAAACCCTGTAGTCTGCCGCTCGTGGTGTCGAGTTTATTGAAGGGAATTATCAGGATTCCTATATATTTGGAGAAATGACTGCAGATACTATTCAAGAGAGTAAGAGAAAAGGAGGAAAAAGGAAACTGAAATAAGTTTTATATGCATGATAAACTAATCAACTCAGGTTGCAATATCACAATCAGAATGGGCAATTGGAAAGGCAGTTCCTAGCTATTTCCCTTATTTCCAAACTAAAGCCTTCATTCTCCAGCTGAAAATTGCCTTACTTCACCAGGTAACTTCAATCTTATTGTTTCATGTGTGTTTTCTCATTCAGTGACGTGCTTTCGTGCCTATATGAAGGAAATTTAAAGTCACTGGAGAAGGGACTGTACTACCTCCAGATTATGAATTATAGGTGAATCTTTATTAAGCTGTTTTACATTCTTAGTAATTTAAGGTAGAAATGAGGTTAGGGTTGTCAAAAAATGATGGTTCTAAGTTGAATAAAGATTATGCAAATACATTTGAAAAGTGTAAAAGAACCTTAGACAAAGCCAGATAAGTTATTTAGCAGAAAAAGGATATGGACATCTTTGTCACAAATTTGTCATGAATATCCTCAGAAAGGGGAAAGGTCTCCAAATCCTTCTCAAGTTGCTTAAGCTGCCTTTCCATCTGCTTTAGACTTTTCTCCAAGTTTTCTACAGAAACTAAACATATATTAATAATTTAAAACTTCAGATGTGCCAAAAGATGAATGCTGTTTAGATTAATCTTGCAAGAAGGCAGGTACAATATCCTTCCGTGCATTATAAAAGTCAGATGTACCAAGTGCATGGCAGACAACCTATTCCATATCATCAGGAAATATCACGTTAATAGCTCACCCGGGTAAAAATCATGCCACTCAAAACAGAAAGCAAGTTCACATGGGCTGAGATTAGATACACGGTGAGGGCTTTGGGAAAATAGCACATTGTGAACAACTGAGGTACCAAGCCAGCTAGAGGCCACTTCAGCACCAAGGCACCATGAGAACAAACAGTTCTGTGACAGTCAACTCTGGGCAAACTCCAGGGGCAATTTGAGAAAATGTGCCACGTGTACCAAGATAACTGTCATGAGAATGATTGCTAGTCACAAATGACAAGCGAGAAGTTTAACACAAAACATGTGAGCCTGTTTTTAACACAAACCTCTACTTGCTTTATCCAAGTGCTCAAAGTCTTCAACAAAGCTAAGGACACCAGGATATTTCTCCTCACAGATTTCCACCAGAAAGTGAAGCAGTGTTATCTTCTGATCAACTGATTTCGTATCTTTTAACTGAAATTAGTAATACAATATTCAGAAACACCAATGAGTTTTAATCACATCTTGCAGAATTCTTACATTGCTGAAGTGACTCTATTTTCAAATACAGTGCAAGAAAAACAAGTTTTGTGGAAAACTGAAACAGAGTTTGAAAAAATTAGAACCTGGGCCATCCTAAACTGTGGATCTGAATTGCATTTTCTAATTCAGAACTTGAGCTAATGTCTACTCCAGGTCCTAGGACATGAAGGAAAGAACAGACAATACAGCAATCTTGCCGAAGTTAAAGTGAATCTAATCAAAGATCTTTGATACAAAATGTCAGCAATGGAATTATTTGTTAGTCAAAAACTAGTTTTTACATGTAAGTGTGAAATTCAACTGTTTCACTTAGGTACCTATTCAAAAGAAGGCTCCCAGCTGGTTGGACATATGAGAGTGGCACAAAAGCTCAGTGTTAAGCACGTTAACACACATGCATTGATAAGTACCACTGGATTCTGCAAAATATTATTTCAAATATTGAGGTTCAATATCAAATAATGGGCAAAATGCATACATCCGATACCGGAAGAATTCCAACCTTCAAGACCTAGAAACAAAATGAGCTAAAGGTACTCCAGGCTATGTAGCCTTGAAGTACTTGCAAACCTGGGGCCGATTATTTGCCCGACTGAGCCCTTAACAATATTCCTTTACCACAGCTTTTCAAATTTTAATTTTGCTATACTAATAAAAATATTCCTAGTTGAGACAATTATCAGCAATAATAGTTTACCACAACACACTTTTCTGTCTGCTTTACTTAGTGGTAGAAAGAGAAGCTTTCAAAGCACAGTGTGTGGTGATCACAAAACTGATGTTCAAAATCTACTTTTGTCTAGCTCAAAGCAAATGGAGGGCTGCTGAAAGCGGGTGTGGAGCAGTGAACAGGTATTTATGCTCAAATTATTGAACAGATTAAGTGTCAAAAAACAGAACAAGCAATTTAAATAACATTGAAAATATGAAAAGGAAGTGGTTAGAGTACTGAACTCAGCATCCAGAGCTCTTTAAAACACTCACTTTACATAGGGAGCAAGGGTTAAATCCAAAGGCCTGTGCATTCCGAGAGCCTGCGTTCATGTAGTTTCCCGTCAGCAGCACCAGCTCCAAGAGCTGGCTGAAGCTTCTGCTCTTCTGTATCTCCTCACAGGTTGCACTGACAGCCAGGATGTCAGGTTTCATGTTGCTCACCTGCTCCTCAAACTGCAGCTTAAACAGTATTGCATTCAGCCGTGGCTTCAGCTTCTTTACACTGCTCATCTGATTGAAAAGGGGAAGAAGAACCTCCTTGAAAACCATGCTTCAGCAGGGAGAAAGCTCACGGATGGCTCACCAGTATGGCTGATTTGAAACTGCAGCCTCATACCCATCACAGAAAAGCTGTATGAATGGGGAGCACGTATTGCAAGCAACGGAAATGACCGCTATGAAGAATCATTGCAGCCATCAAGCTAACTGCAGAAAAGCGTACACCAAATGCAGTATAAATACTCAGTGATAAGAATTATAATAAGCAGAGTTTATCCTGAGACATTTGAATAGATACTTAGTATAAAAGTGACATGTGTAAATAAACCATAACGCATGAACAATAAAATTGCTCATGCAATAAGGTTCACAAGCTATCTGAGACGTAGGGAGAGAACACCCTCCTCCCAAAGGCCATCGTTTATGAAGGTCTGTCTGTATGATTCTTGAGGTCTAGAATGCAGACAGCCTGAAGCAACTGAATGAGGAGTTTAATGCCTGCTGACTCGCAAATAAGTGCCTTTTGTTTGCCCCATCTGAGAACGGCCTTCCAGTTGCTCTTGTACTTATCAACGCCATGCAGTTTTTCAGAAAGCACTCTGGAAAAAGATCCAGATGCTCTTCAACCGTTAAAACAGCAGCGAAATCAGGAAGACCCTGTGACCATAAAGGAAAAGTTTCAAAAAGCAGTGCTACTTACCACCACAGCAAACTGCTCAGGTTCAGACAAGTTCTTATATTCACTCTTTAAATTGGACAATTCATTGAGCTGTTTTTGTTCAGGAAGGTGCTTTATTAAATTCTACATACCATGAAAAGACATGAAATTAGACCTTATGCTCCCGTTTTCTTGGCCAGTTTTTCTATGAGGCTTTATTCAGTATAATCGGCAGAAATACAAAAGGTTCGTTTTGCGTCACTGTGAACTTAGACATTTGAAAACAAAAATGTTATGCCTTCCAAGAGGTAAGCACAGAATTCAGCTTATTAATTCATTCCCCCCACAATCTCAGAAAACTGCTGCATCACAGTGCCAAGTGCCAAAAGGAACTGCCCAACGGCCAGTTTGCTTTAGGAAGAACAGAGCGTACACGAGAACATGAAAGGGTGTGTGTGGTGGGGGGGGGGGCTTTTAAACAAATGCTGCTAATGAAAGTACTGTTCCCGCCCCTCAGGATGGGGAACATTAAGTGGGTTACTAGACAACTGTCCACCTGGAAAACGGGGCTTTTATGATCTAGAAAAGACTACAATAGAGGAATCAGAACAATGTTGCATAACTACCGCAATGTATAACTGGAGTTGTTGTGTTTTTCCTTTCATCAGTTATACCCTTGTTTATCTGAGTAAACTCCTTTTAGATGCATTTAGTTTGTAAGATGCCACTATAAAACAAGGAGCAGAAACTTTTAAAAGTGTACACTTGAAATAAAAGTAAAGACACAGGAAGCTGAAAGGTACAATTTTACACTAACTTTGCCCTTGCCTGCAATTTGCTACTGGTATGTAATGGAGCCCATTCAAGTCCAGCCTGGACATAAAGTGAATGCTTAAACTCAAAATTACTCCAGCTTAACATTAAAATATATTTTACTGGTATTGCACTCCCAAAACAGCCTCTTACAGAGCTATTACAAGACAGGGCAGGATACACCAAAACGAACAGAAACACTTGCTTCAGGACTGGGACAGACCAGCAAAATTCCCCTACTCAAGTTTCACTGCCCGGCCCCATTCCAGTGATGAGACTTCCATCTGGTTCCTAGTTGTCCCTGGAAGTGCTAAGCCCCTGTACCACAAGCAGCGCTCTCTGCTGGCAGGCAGAAATTGGTGGGTTGCAGAGAACGGGTGGCCTGTCCTGATATGCATTAAAACAAAAATAGAATGACTGCAGGACATCTTCATCTATTTTAATTCTGTAGTGGGCTGGTTCAGCTGGCACACATCAAGGCCTGACATATGGAGGCTTTTTTTAAAGGAAACTACTGCATTAAAATATCATAATAATTTTGCCCAGTGAAATTAGCAAAGTCATTTCATTGGGGAGGGGACACACACACACCCCTAGCATTTCTCTGGGCAAAGCACTGAATAAGCTGCAATATTATTTGTCAGAGGCACAACCCAGTGAAGTTGTGACCTGCTAGATGGAAGCCTCCACTCTTGGGGATTTCCAGGTACCTGCGCCTTACTGGGCTGCTGTCAGCAAGGTGGGAGAAAACCTGGAGGTAAACGTCACTTCTCCATCTTCCTGTGCATCCCCCACACCCTAGACAGGCCTTGAAGGTCTGTTGCTGTGGTTGGACCAGGGCTGGGAAGGCTACAGGATATGGCCCTTCCCAGACTCGTCTCCTCACCTACTGGAATGCCTCGCCCTTTTTGACCTCTGTGAAATCATCTGAGGTTGCTTTTGCAACTCTGGAAATCACACACTGTGGTTCTTTCTGCAGTGGCTGCAAGAGGTGAGGCCGGGAGAGTATATGGCATGTATCTTGGGAAGGGGGCATGCAAAAACTCTTGTGTCCACGGGGGCAACAGGACTGCTATTCCCACAACCTGCTTAAGATGTGTTTTCCTTAAATAGCTTCCTGCCTCTTGTCTGCAAAATAAAGCAGCATAGAAATGCACTTGAGAAAAAGATGTCATTTGTAGTATTGTTCAAACTAACTCCAAAGATGGAGTTCGTGATGGAGAACTGTCTAATTGGATCACAAGTCATATCAGCTCTAATCAAGCCAAGAAAAATTAAAAGAAGGAAGAGGGGAAGGGGGTGGGGTGGGGAGAAAGAGAAGACTAGTTCTTTTTGCTCTAGAGGTTTCAAACTGCACTGCACTTTACATAGGGCACACCAAGAGGGTGCAAAGTATGAGTGCAAGCCAACAGGGGCCATTTTTTAACAAGCAAATCCAGGACAGTGTTACAAGTTTCTTCATGCACACTCCAGTGATAGGAGAGCTGCTTCCAGCTGACAACAGAAAGATTTACAAATGTGAGAAAGAGATGCAGAACCTGGGAGCTTCAAGAACAGGTAGTCCTGAACAGCATCTGGAGTCATTCACCTGTGACATCCAAGCTGTTCAGCTATACATCTTGAACTACTTTGCAGATGAAAGATGGTTGTATTTACTGCAAATGCAGCCGGAATTAATCATGAGTCAGGCTGCGTATTCAAGGAAGGAGCATTAGTGGGTTTCTGATACTGAAAACCTGTGTATGTGAGACCACTGGGCAGATTAAATAAATGCAGTAAGTAAATAAATTGCTCGCTGTTCATCATACCTGGACCATGGATTCTGACAGCTGGACTTCATCTATTTCCAGTATCATCATTTTTATTTCTTCATACGGAACCCGAAAAGAACCTAGAAAGATAGCTGAAGAAAAAAAGAAAACATTTAACATTTAAGGCTGCAATTTGCTTTACGTTTCAGCTGGGTTGAATTGCCCAGATACACCACAAAATCACTAGACTGCTTGGTCACATTAGAAAGGTGGCACATCAACAGGCTAAATGAGATTCAAGAGTTTCAATTAGGAAACAAGAGATAGGGAAGGGAGGACTATAATGAATCGCCTGGGTCTTGCCTACATGACGTTCAGAGGAGAGAGTGAACTCCTAATGCACTCCACAGGTTCACTTCAGCTCCTACTTTCTGTATCTTCAAGCAGTGCTCTGGCAAGAAGAGAGAGCCTGTAGTAGGAGCTAGCTAGGGATGCTGGCCCAGAGGAGGGAAGGATGACCGGCATTGTCTCCTGTGGCCGTCAAGAGACAAGCTGCAGGAGGAAACCACACAGACTGGTCTTCACCCTTTATAAGACAGGGCTCCCTCAGGAGACAAACTGCACATTCAAGCCCCTGAACCAGACCAGAGTTATGCAAGCACTGTTTAACACTTCCATAGCCCGTGGTCTGCCATGGGTCAGCTAACTATCACATAACCATCACATAACCATCACGTAACCCTTTGATCAACAAGGACCTCTTCATCTTCAAAATGTCACTTGTATATAACCTGCATCTGGCACAATCTCACCATGGTTAAATTGCTGCTGTGTGATGTGATGAGTAGAGGAAAAAGCAAAAGAAGGAGCAAAGTGAGAGAGAGAAACAGCTGAAAGAAGCAAGATCATGCACTAAATCTTTAGTGAAGATGACAAGAACCTCAGGAAAACATGCGATAGAAAGTAACACCTCATTTTAAAAAGAAAACAGAAATAATAACCATTCACATAGGAAAGCACAGAGAGTTATTTTTGTTTTGAAAACAAAGATGGTAATGTTCAGAGTCTAGGGAAAAATATATTCATGGTATTTGTAAACATTTGCCATTTATTTTCGTATACCTGATGAATTCCTTGTTTACTACTGCATAACTTTAACATATGGTTTTACAGCATTTTGTTGTCATTATAAAATATGAACTGAATTAAAAGCAAAGCTTTGATATCTAGAACATCAAAACTAGTAATTAAAATCAACCAATTCCCCAAAGTATTTTAAATACTGTAAAACATTTACTTACAAAGATTTTGGGCAACCTTTGGTTCCAAAATTTTTAGTTCTCTGATTCGCTTTTTAACAGATTTCTTCTCCTCAAAACCTTCATCTTTTTTAACTATTAATACAGAATGTCATATGTCAGCACACTCCAGAGTTAACAGTATTAACACGTTTTCTTAAAAAAGACTTTTCTAGAGGTTTAAACATTATGTATGTATAAAAATAGGCATTTTTTAAATAAACCAAGTTCCACTACATAACTGAAGCACTTAGCAAATTTCTTCATTACTATTTTTAGAATTAAACACTAAATCGTCTGAGCACTGCTCAGACAATTGCTAGCTAAGGCCTGATTCATCCCACACCATCACAGGCACCCCTACCTGTGACCAGATGTGTTCTGCCCTGCAGACACATCTTGCTGGTTTTGCCAAGCCAACTTCTGTGGAACGGCTAGCAGAATGATACTATCTCTTCTACTTTTTCCATTATACTACTGGATACATTCAATATCCAGTATTGAATCCAGTATTGAATCCAGTAACCAATCATTTTTACAATAGTGGAATTTTCCCAGTCATTTCCAGTTCAAGGTTTTCCAGACCCCTTATATTGCTACTTTTTTTTAACCAAAGCCTAGAATCTGGTAGGGACACTAAAAGAACCACCAGAGACCCTCCCATTTTAGTTTTAGCATATATGAGCATTTTTACTTTTCTAGAAAGTGTTGAATTGGGAACATTTTCAGAGTCTATCTCAAAAAGTTTATCCAAATAGCTAAAAATGAAATATTTAAAACTAAAATAATGAGACATTTACTTTAGGGGGGAAAGACAGTACAGCAAACTTCATGTAATTTAAATAGCATATTCAAATTAAGAGTTCTATTTGAAAATGTTCTTACCTATAAATATTTTAATACAAGATAACTAGAGTGCACCTTTTCCATTTTTTCTAAACATTTAAACAAATGAAGATACTAATACTAACATACTAATTTTAATTCACCTGAAGAGTTGTATGTAGGTATGTATAACAAAATAAATTTTATTATACATACTGTTGCTCTTATTGTAGGATAGTAATATGGAGTAAACAGCACTGGATTAGATATGACAAATAAGATTATATACTTATCTTCCTAACTGTAGTGAACAAAGGCAGTCAAAATTACTGGCTATCTTTTCTAATTAAACTAACCGCTAAACTTTTGAAAGGCATTTGGCATCTTCAGTAATCTTCATCTGCTTAATGCACACTCCTTCATCTTTGGGGCCTTTTGATGTTATAGCTATATTCTATTTGATCGATTAACTGCCCTGTAAAATTTTTAAACACTGTATATACAACGGCAGGTGGGGGGGGGGGGAGAATGCCATGCTGGATACATGATGGGTTTCCCTGGTAAATCTGTTACCACATGCAAGTATGTGCTCAGCTTAGTTCTCAAATGACCATTCTGGCTGGAATCTTAAGAATTGATGGTTCCTTCAAAAACAAACGAGTTCATTGCATAATAAAACATTTAGACTAGAATTCGCACTTACCATTTTTTTGACAACAAAACGTAAGTTCCAGCTTGTACAGCAGCTCAGCATTCTCATACTTGCCCTCATTTGCCCTCAGCCAGAAGCAGGATTCATTCATGTCGTGTGGCCCGATCTGCAGAATATACCATAATCTGGAATAATATCTCAGTCTCTATGTGAACCGTATGTATCACAGACAGACAATTATAAAAGTCATGGACATAATATGGAAGGTAATTAGTAATTATTAGAAGGAAGTGTTGTTGTTGTTGTTGTTGTTGTTGTTTTTGCTACTGGCTTATTCTGGTTCAAGTATACTCAGTAATGATTAGTGCTCAGAGTCCTAGATAACTGGCTCTTCTGAGCACATTGAGTGCTATTTCCACACATTCCCCAGCAGCATCAATGGCAAGGACTCAGTTGTAGCAGAACAGATCTGGGTGCACGCGCCAGCTTGAGAAGCAGCCCGTTCCGATACTGCATAGTTCTGCCTATTTCTACCTGTCAATCCAACCTGGATCATTAATGTCTGATCTTGGGTCTCTATGTCAACTATGAATCATCACGGTTACTATCATTTGATGTTCAGGTCACTCAACCCAAGCAGGACGAGTTTTGTTGCATATGGCTGGAATGAAGGCGTACATCCAAAGCAGAGGACAAGTACTTTTGCCAATTGTTATTTTGACAGAATGAAAGTTCTCCTTCCATGCCATGCCATGTCATGCCAGACCCAGAACAAGCAAAAAGCACTTTTTACTGTAACGCTGTAACGCTGTTGGGCCCCAGCCAGCCGCAGCATGGGACGGGGACACTGCGTGCGATAGCCGTCTACTGACCCTGGTCTCTACTCCTCACTGTACCACAGTAAGAGCAGGGAAGACCAGCACTTTGGACTCCAGTGGCAGCACTCCCGAAGCCCACCTTTCCCGGTTGAGCATCCTCCAGACTACACTCCCATCATTGCCAGCTAACCAGGCTAGAGAAGGTCGATCGAAAGCATAGGGGCATGGAAAGAAACCAGCTCTAAAGAGATGCGCAGAAGTTGAACTATGTGACTCTAAAAACAAATGACTGGAAGCTTTTAGCATGTAAACAGCAATCGCCTTCTAAAATGACACCAGATGCGAAGCTTAGTTTACCTTTGCCCAGTTGAATCTTTTCATCGTGACCTCAGGTTTAAACTCCTTCTTAGGCTTCAATCCAAAGGGTAGGGCTTGAGGAGGAGGGGAAGGCATTCCGGGCAAGGTCCCCAGTGGGGGCGGAGGAGGAATACCAAAAGGAAGAGGCTTTCCTGGGCCATTAAGAAGGGAGGGTGGGGGGGGGGGGGGGGGGGGGGGGGGGGGCGGAGGAGCTCCATTGGAAGGTGCCGCCGGTGGTAACAATTCAGACGACACGACAGTCGATGGACGTGGAGAGGCACCTGCCATCGCAGCACCCTGGAAAGAAAGGCTCTGAGTTAACGAATGCAAATCTTGCACCTCCCTCAGTCGAAAGCAAAATGTGAAATCCCGTACAACAGCCATCAGTTGTAGATTCGGTGCAGAAAGCAGATGATCAGTTCATTCAGATATCTTTGTGGGCGACAGTTTGCCAGTTTGGGATTCAATTCTGTCCTCCATCCAGTAATAATAATAGAATGCCGCAGCTCACCAAGAGCGTGGGACTCAATTGCACTGTGGCCATTTCCTTCTGAACACATACAAAGAGATTTTGTATTGCGGTCACCTGCAAAACCTTATGTACTACGGATTAGACTAAAATACTACTGTATGATAACTCCTTCATCTGTTATCTTCTCCAACGATGCTTGAGTTACCAGCTTGGATATGAGAAGCACAGGATTAAATGACAGTTCTGCCTAGTCTGCCATCCTTGTTTCCAGTAGCGGACAGAGAGACGGTCTGTGAAGCTTATTAAGGGTCTTCAGCGAAAAAAATAACTAGATGGGGAGCGCAAGTCCAACCACTGCCAAAGACCCTTGGTAAGCGGCAAGCTTCCTTTTACTCAGAGAAGTTTTCAGTAGGCGCCCTTGACTCTCAAAGTTCGCAGAACAATGCTGCTTCATTGATTTTAAAAGAAGTTGATCTTGGGTGTTTCCCAGAGTCCTGAAGGCTAGTATATTTCTGACCCAGGGCTATGCCCAAGATAAATTGCTCTGGCCCGAAGAACAGGCGGCCATATTGAAGTTACTACTCATACACGTAATATGAATGTGGAGCTATTTTAAACTGTACTGCTATCTCCTCAACCCTAGAGCAGACTTAAGGAAGGTGCACCTATTTTACTCAAGCTCACATTTGCCTTCCATACACCTTGGTTCATATCCATGTGATCTGTGTATAAGGAAAGTTTTGCAAACTGGCATGATTGCCTTCTTTTTGGCCCTAAACGTGGATCTCCACAAAAGGAGAAAATATGATGCGAAAAGTTATTCAAATTGCAAAATAATCTGTAATTGTAATACAGTTAGAAGGTTTGTTGTTGCCAAGATTGGAGGAAAGGTGAAGACAAACTAAGGAATATTCCTCAGAATAAATGTACTATGAGAGTCAAAACGTAATCGAAGACCTCTTCAAGTTGGAAGACTAAGCAAATTATCCAGTACGGCTGGTCACTTTGGCACCAGTTTATACTAGTAAGAAGTTATAATTAGTAAAAAAAAATGAACTTGTAATACAATTGCTTTTATTATCCATCCTGATCATTTTAAAAATAAGAATATAAAGATTTTTTTTTTAACCTGGACCTGGAATAAAAGACAGCCCTCAATTTTTTGCTTTGCTATTTTTGGTCTCAAGGGTCATTTATATAGTATATAAGCATAACATTTTACCAATAAAATATTCCTTTACCTTGCATTCTGCTTCAATTTTCTGAAGTTGCGCCTTTGTCTCCTGATGAGCTAAAAATTCTTCTTCAAACTAGAACACAAACATGAAAGTGCTTTGCATCTCAGTATCTTTCCCCCCTCAAGCTGTTGGCATAACTCCCAAGTGTTTTAAGTCGTTTGCATGTTGTATTATCTAGATATGTTGATCGTGTGATACTCAGTGGGGCACAGGGAGAATGAAGCAGCAGATTGACCTCCGGCTCCGAAGTGGGGTAGACTTAGCATTCGCCTGTGCTCAGACACCTTTTCGGGTCTCTTGTCAATCCCACTGCTCTTCCAAGGGTCTGGGGGTGGGGCAGTTATACCAGGCCCAGGCTGCTATGGATGTGAAGTCCTGACATTACTTCAATTGATCCAGGCCTCAGTTTGATTTGATCTGGCGCCTACCACCAAGTGCTACAGCTGTCCCCATATTATCCACAAGCATAACTGACCCTTCCAGGCAAAACACAGCCCACCACCGTCAGCAAAGAGGGAATCCTATACAACCTGAACCGGGAGTACGCCCCACTAAATTCAATAGGACTTGCATGTGAGCAAAAATTAATACATGCCATTAGCAACATTCAGTTACAAGAGAAATTCTAAACACAAGCAAAGTGAACAAGGAGATATAAAAGGAGGAAGTAATAGGAGACAATTAACTCAAAGTATTAATGCACATGGCTGTGTGCTCAAATTTAACTGATTCAATCTTTAGAGGAGAGTCTACCCTTTATTCTCCACTAACTACTAGTGTACTACTGGGAAAGAGCCAATTAAATTTAATTCAGCTCTTTTCACATAAAACAACTACTCTGGAGTTTATCAGAGGGAGCAGCCCAGGTACCCAGACTCCCATTTTTCAAGTCACTACTGGTATGGACCTTGAAATGCCTTCAACCAACTTCCCAAATGGACATTGAATCAAAAGGCACAACACAGGCACCGGGAAACACTGGGGTGCGCAGCTGTCTCCCCCCACACCCCGCCCCACTGGTCCATGTGTGCAAAGCCACACTAGACAGCTGTTCCTTGCCCAGGGAAAAATATATGGATCGTAAATGAATCTTGCAACTGCTTTTTATGAGCTTCCACACAGAGACAGAGCTGTGCAAAGCCAAGCCTGTGGGTGCCCAAGACAGAATTCACGACACTTTTTGCAACAGCTCCAGCCCTGGCACTTCCAGGGGCCAGATGGATGCTGCTTTTCCAAGGGAATACGCAGGCTTGACGCTGCTTGCAAGGATTCGAGGCCACCCTCTGGGATCTGACAAGCAGCAAGGCTTTGATGGCAAAGTGGCAAAGGAAATGGCTGGAAGGTTCTGTCCTACGTGCTCAGAGGTTAGTATTTAGATGCACCGGCCCAGCCATTTCCATGCTGTGCCCTCAAACGGGCAATAACTCATGACAGTGCCATGGGGCGCCATTTCTTTTGATGAAAAGCAGGCAAGCATGGGACACTTTTACAAGTCTAATATGCAAATAATGCTACTTGCAATAATGCACCTCAGTGTGCAAGGTTGTGGGCCGGACACACACAATGCACGGAACCTCCTGGCATTTAGGAGCAACCGCAGGATGTTCCCCCAGAGTTATGACAAAAAACGTGGCACACTGTTTTGTATCAGCCAGTTTTTCACCTGCAAAATTAACTCTAGGGGAAAATACAGACTTATAGATTGGAAAGACTTTTGTTCAGAGTACATGGACGGACAGTCGGATTTTTAATCTGAGTAAGGAGAACTTATTGCCACGTTCTGCTTAGCATGCTCGGCAAGATTTGCCAGCAATGGCTGAATGGCAACATGCGCAACTCAAGAGTCTGATTGGTTCAGTTTTGCCACTTTTACAGCTTCAGAATCCTCTTAATTAAGTCCTTAAGTGGAAGATTTAATTAAACTCTTTGATTTTTGAATGGATCATTTTCAGGTGTAATCTACAAATTATTTTCTATAATAGTATATTATTGTACCTCTTACACCTATGTAAGAGATACATAGCATATATTCATTTATATACTTTAATTGTGAATGCATTGCATTCATCTCTCATGTAAGAAATCTTTAACTTTTTCTGTTCATTTGGGTTTCAGTTTCAATTTTGAATTTAATAAAAGAAATGTCACCCACCTGCCCAAAGGTTGGTTTTCCCCATCAAAATCTTTGCTAGCTTCTAGCAGCCCTGCCAGGAAAACGAAAGACAAGCACAAAACATGCAACCATTTTTTCCCCAGCTTGTGCTGATAGGGAGAATGGCATAGTTATAAACTGAGTTAAAACTCAAAGTTTGAGATCCAGTCATTGTGTGGCTATCTATCTGGGCCCTAATAAAGGTTTGACAGGAGACTGAAAGTCATGCACATAAAAAGTTAGACATAAGTAAATAGAATTTTTATAAAATTACTAACCTTTTTTGAAGCTCCTGAAGCCTTCTCTTTAAGCTCTTCTACTTTGTGTTCAATGCAGACATCTAGTAGAAAATCAAGTTGGTTGGTTTGGTTTTCCAAGACTTCCCAAGCCTTTCAATACCTGTCAGTCTTAGAAGAGACCCCACCATCATATGGATGACACCCTCCTAAAGGGCTGCTCGTTTAGTTCAATCAACTGAGATGCATGGAAGAAAATCTAACAGAGACTCAATTTCCAAGTTTTGCTTCTCTCCTTCGTAGGATAAAGTGTATAGCAATCCACCCCCAACTCTGAGGTCAAGGTAGGGCCCGCTAGCCCCCAGAAAACAAAGACAGTCTTAAGGGTACCAATATACAGCAGAATGTTATCTGTACTATATCTTTTGGTATGAAGCAATAATGTGAAAACATACCCATTAGATGACTAAAGTCCACATCCAGTCTTTTACGGTAACTAAAATCTGGGTCTACTCCATTTCGATGTAAGACTATCTGTGAAATGCACTCTTCGATTAACTTGAAATACAGGGGTCTACACAAGTAGGAAATGAAAGAAATCATCTATTTGTTGATTATGGAATCACTTTATAAATAGCAAGCAAGTGGAAAAAACCATAATTCTGCAACCTTGTTACCACCCCGAGGCAAGCCTTTGTCACAGCAATTTTACGTGGGTAAAATTAAAACAACCCCCTCATTTCAGAAAATACTGCTCATGAAGATTAGAAAATTCTGACACAGTGCTGCTTCTCATCCTGCCTTATGCAATGAGACATGCAGATCCTAATCTGTGAGATTTTAACCAAGACTTGAAAGCGTCATCAAAGCTAATCAAACCTAAAACTGGTTGATGCAAGTTGCTGTATTGATATAACACTTAACTATTATGAGTCTTGACAAAAGGGTTCATGGTTGAGAAGGACCAGCAACTGCAACCCCAAGGCCCATTTCCTATCCCTTCACCATAATCAGGAACAATCAGAAACGACCCACCCATCTCTTGAATTGTAATACAATGCCAATAAATGGATTTTTTGCACTCCCTTGGCAGCTAAAAGACTAATGCCACAACCTGGAAAGGATAAACACCACCTGACAATGGCAAAAGGAATGGAGGATTTAATGAAACATTCAATTTACGAGTCAACTACAAATAAAAAATACATATTTAGTGTACCTTTAATAAAGTATATGCATAATTATTTTAATAGGGTAGTATATTCTGTTATAGTCCAATATACATAGCTGCTACATGATGCTCCATAAATTCAAGACAGAGGTTACTTTTATGGAACTGATCCGTCTTATACTTGGCCTTTTCTTCTTCTACCTTTAAATTTCCCTAACATTATTATCTTCTCCAGTGAGTCCTGCCTTCTCATGAAGTGACCAAAGTGCAACAGCGTCATCCTGTTTGCTTCCAGGAAATTTCTGGCTCAGTCTGATCTAAGGTCCACATGTCCATTTTTTCTTCAGACTAGGGTATTTGCAAAGCTCTCCTGCAGCACCCTGCTTCAAACAGATCACTTTTCTGATTAATCGAGCAATATTATGCTCTCACTTATTATAAATGCCAAGTAAGAGCTAGTGCGAGTTTTCCTTACCGTATAAAATTGTCATTTCGTATCAGCAAGAGATGCTGAAGGATAGAAAGAAAATAGCCTTCTGCACTTGTGTCCTTCACAGAGTTCCATACCATATTGTAAACATCACTTGCATCAGTAACCAAGTCAAGGATAACACAACTTATTTCCATGCTCAGCCACAGAAACATTTTATGCTTTCAGAAAAGAATTTACTATTACGTCTCTGCTAAATTTTTTCACATTTCCCCAACAATTCTCAATCAGAAAAGGCATTATATTTGAAAATAATTTTAAGGAGAAAAAAATTTGGAGGATTGCATTGGGTTCAGATGAGAAAATTTAAGGAAATCCCACCTCTTTCCTGGAGCTGTATATAATACTATCCCATCATGCCAGCATTGTAGTAGATGCAAATAGGAACCAACATGTAAACAGATGCTGCTGCTGTCATTCACAATGACAACACAAAGCCCCCCAAAGCCCTAGGGAAAAGAAGCTGTGCTACAGCAATACACTTTTAAGAATTTCTCCTTCCTCTGGAAAAAAAATTAGTGAAACAGAGCCCTCAATTTCTTCTCCCATGACTACAGTGGAGAATTCCAAGTGGCTACTGGTACATAGCTCTATCTTCTATACTGAGGGAAGGATGTAAATGAGCCACATGCCTTTTGCACAAATGTCTTGCTCCAAGTATTGCTTAGAATATGCATCGCCTCATTTTCCAGATCAAAGCACCGCAAGAGAATGAGAACTTGCTACAAAAGATGTTAATTGTCCACATGATTTAGCATGGATCTGACCAAACCAGGGAACTGAGGTGTGTGTTACCAACCCCAGGTCTAAACTTTTCAGGGTCCTCTGTCTTCTTTCAAAGGATATTCTAACTCAGATTTGATATCTTCTAAACGATGAGAAAATTCAATCATATCTTCTTCTTTGTGCTCACTGAACACTTTGAGCTGGATATCCAAAGCATCATTCTTTATGCATTTCAAATGCTGCAGTGGAAAATAATACAATAGTGCCTAATTGATAATTGCATATTAAAATAAGCTATTTTAAAGCAACCCCATTTTTAACATTGCAAGGTATATGTTTAGGTAATCTATGAAGTATTCAAACACACAAAATATATTTCCAAACTAACTTAGAAAACATAAAGCAAAACTGTACTGCAGCTGCTTATCTTTATTTCATTTTAAGCTATTAGTTTCTGAATAAATTTTTATTTGCAACGTTTCATTCTGTGTCTTGATAAATTATTCCAGAAAGGAGTCCAGCTTCTTCTCAACTCAGGTAAACCTTCCCATTTAAATATTCATTTACATACACACAACAGGCCACATACCGGCAATTGCTCTTTCAATCCACAGCGCATAAATTCATTCCTAATATGGAGTCTGAAGTCCAGATCATCAGGAGATGTAACGAGTGCATTGATGAGTTGCATACAAGCTACCTGCAAGAAATAACATGTTTATGTTCTTTGCATGCTTTGAATGTGAAGGGCTAACATTTTAGGAAAAAACAGACCAAATGGTGCTCCAACAGTTGAGTTGATAGCCAATATGTCTAGATATTTTATTGCTATGAACTTGGGCATATTAAACTGTATCACTGTGTTAGACCTAGATTGTATGTCTTAGCAGCAAACTGTAGGATTTTAAAAAATCCATTTCCAATTTAAAAATATATCTATGAATACTGTTGCATGACATTTTGGCTTGTTAAGGTTTTATGAATTAAACAAAACAGAGCTAACTTATAATCATTCAGTATGTCATAATTTACCTCTGTGATGTTTGAACCAAACTTTATTTATATTTATTTTACATTTATATTGCAATTTATATCCTGCCTTTTTCCTACAAAGGGCTCAAGGCAGCTTACATCATTCTCCTCCTCCATCTTATCCCCACAACAACCCTGTGAGGTAGGTTGGGCTGAGAGTCTGTGACTGACCTAGAGTCACCCAGTTGGCTCCATGGCTGAGCGGGGACTAGAACCCAGGTCGTCTGAGTCCCAGTCCCATGCTCTTAACCACTACACCACACTGGCTCTTAACCATAACACCACACACTTTAAAGTTACATATTATAATTAAAGACCATTAAACCATTCCAGGACCATTCAGTAAAATTTACATTTTATAAGAAATTGCACACAATCATCATAAGAAAAGTAACAATTTAAGAATGCATAATTTAAGTTTTAGAATGAAGAATTAAAGAGTCAAAACTGTCTTCATTTATTATTTTATATCCTGAATATTTAAGCTACATAAATATTTTTATCCTGCAAGATCCCAGTTTCTCTTGGCTATTCAAAACACTAACCTGAACATCCTATGATGTAAGAATTAAGTGCTGAGCCGTAAGCATTATTAGGAGTATCATGCTAATAGGTCAAGCCACAGAGCTGCAGAATAGCTTGGTAGTTTCACCCATGTGGGAAAGCAGGAAGAATAGCTGGAAAAGCAAGACTATTTGCACTTGCATTTGAGGTGTGACTGCCCCTAGCCTTAGATTGCCAATGGAACACCTCGTTTATTGCAAAAGTTTGGAGCAACAGGAGAGGAAAGGAGATTAGGAGCAGGGCGCATGATAGGCTGCTTTGGGCAGAGCAGAAAAAACCTGGCAAGATGCAAGAGCTACAAACCTCAACATTCTGTGAGACAAAGAGAAACACAACCCAGGCCAAATGTAGTCAAGCTGTTGTCTTCCAGTGCATCCAATATATATGAAGAACATGAAGGAAGAGGCCTTTTCCTTGTTCACTGTCTGTACATGTGTAGCCATTGCAAGCCTAACAATCTTCAGTCTGAAGTAACTGTTCTTCTAACCAAGGATGCACAGCCACGAACACGCAGTTTTCCCGCCAGCAGATTGAAAACATGTTTAATTGGCCTTACCTGCTCTTAGAGGAAAAGCTACACCTCTTATGCCTGTTTTCTGCCTCTAGGAGCAAAGCGGTAATGTGCAGCATCTACTTAAAAATAAATGAACTTGTCCTCTGAGAAAGATTCAGGAAACAACTTGTACTTTTTCTATTTTAAACAATCATAGAGTATTCACTTTCAGCCCTCCTCTACACCCACATGATGGAACTGCATGCAAGGGAGGGTTCCAGGTAGATGCAAATTAACCGTGGAAAAACATGCCACAGGTACCTTCCTGAAGCTCATCCCATTGTGTCAGATCCAGATTTTATCATCCTAAGAGAAGGTATCTCATGACTAACTGAACTCTCACTGATTTCAGAGGGTCTATTCCAAGCATGCCTAATTCGGCAAAGCTTCTCTCCTGTTCTCGATTGTGTTCATCAGCTACACGAAACAAGGTTGGCAGTGCTAACCAACTGGATGCCCCTCTTTGCTCTCAGCTGCCATCGAGTTCTCACCAGATTTGGCTTTAAGGTTTGATCACTTTTCTTGCCATGTCTTTCTCTATTAAGTCTTCACAATCCTCAGTTCCCTTCCATAATATGTATAAGATTCCTTAGCAGTCTTATCCAGCTATTTCAAATAGCTCTGTTATAATACTGCCCCTATTAATCTGCCTTCACCCTCTTTTTCAGTTGCATGGTAAATCAATCATTGGCTCAAGTTACACACGCCCGAAAGTGACATTAGTTCTTCTCCAAACACCTCTGCTTCCTCTGCTAATTCAGCCTCACCTTCTTAAGCTCATAATCCCAGTGTTTTGATTCCTCTCTTTCATCTCTCTTTATTTTACATTTTCTGAGCACTTGCTTGTTGCTTCATTATTTCCAAAATGTATGTGTGTTGGTGTGGGGAGATTCAGACTGCAATAACAATGACACTTCAAGGCCGTTTTAGTGCTTAGATTGTAGCATCTGCTAACCAGATTTTCTGCTTCCCGTATCTGCAACCAATTTGCAAGCACTCTCCTCACTCACACCAATAGCCTCTCACCCTCCTCCACTCCACACACAAAGCCTCACGGGCTTCCTTTTCCTCCCCATATTATATTTATCTCCCCCCTCCCCGCCCCACAGTTCCTGATTGTCTTATTTATCCACCTTTTTCCCCCCACACTGTCTCCAACCTACTTAAAACCCGGATATCTTCTTCTCTAGCATGCCTCTCTCTCTCCGTCTGTTGTCTACCTTTGTTCTAGATTTATTTCCTCTATGTTACTAATCTTACTTTCTTTGTTAGAATATTCCCTTGCTTCTCCTGCTGCAAATCTTGAGCAGAGAGGACTGTTAATAAAATAGGAAAATCCTGTAACTGCTTAGCTGAAAGCAAGCCCCATTGACTTCAGTGGGACTTAGCACTAAGTAAGCATGCACAGTAAGTGCATTAATCCTGGGTTTGCACAACACGACAACTCATCCAAGTGCGCTACCCAAACTATTTTTGCGGGAACTTGGAGCAATTCTCACAGGACTTCATTTCTTGGGGGAAACAAGGAAACCTGACGTTTAGTCACTTGTTCTAGCATGCCACCCTGACCCAAGCACCTGTCCCCATCATGGGTGAAGGGAATGGGCAGATCCCCTGCAGCTCATGCCAAGCTTCCCTCACCACCTCCAGAACAAGCTGCCCCACGAGGATCCAACTGGGCACTCGGGCGTAATGGGCACTGGCTGGTTGTCTCCCACTAGTGCTTGGAAGCAATTCTGGCACAGCACCGGTTTATCCTCCTTCACACTGCTTTTCCTTAGAAGACCAGCCTGACAGCCAGTTTTTGTGATCTCCGTTTTAGGAGCTGCTGACAGCGTCTTCAAAGTGCTCCAATGGCACTTTTCCTTGTTCCCACATTTGTGAAACTAGCCCCCTGCACATTTGCACAAGTGTGGGAATCCAGGGCCTGACTTGAGCAACGGCGGAGGACCTACTGCCAGAGGACAGCAGATACCAACACTGGAAGTTGACCCACAGGCTCCAGAAATGGGGTTTCTTTACTTGGCTTCTCTTGACAGCTGTCAGTAGCTGCCAAAAGAAACCAAAGGCATGAGAAACTTTAGCTCACAGGAAAAGGGTGCAGTCATTTCCACCTCTGAACAACAGGATCCTTTTTTCTTTTTCTTTTTGCCCTGACCATTCCCTGAATGAGGAGTATTTTACTCTTTTTCCCCAAGACTGTAGCAGCTCAGGGAAGTCCAAAAGCGCAAGAGCCACTGCTCGGCTGCAGAGAATCTTGACCCATTTTCTGCTTCACCATTAACACACAAAAAGGGCTTTGGGAAGTAGGGCTTTGTTGTACAGCTCTACAGAATACTGGACTAATTGAAATGCATTAAAGCTTGGTTCAGACCTTGGAAATAGGATACTGTTAACACCTACTTAAAATATGTTTAAAATGTTATGCTGTTAGATTGGACTGCCATACTCGAAGCATCTACAGACAGATGGACGCTGTTATTTTAAAATTCCTTATCTGACTTGATTGGAACAAGTTTCATGTAGGAATGAATTTTATAGCTAAAAGTTATTAACCGAGTGCCTGACCATTTACAGTAATGGGTGTAAACTGAGAGTATTAACTTTGGAGAAGCTGTAATATAACTTTAAAATCCACGGCCTGATATCAAGGATTAATTATATTTCAATATGGGGTTTACATAACAGTGAAAATCATATGATGGCTCTTCTTGGCTTGTTAAAAAAAAAGTCAATTTTCTTTTAAAGATAACACCAGGGTTTTTATGAACTAAAGCATCTGTGTCTGGAATAGTTTTGATTAACAGACATCAATATAAAAGCCATACCAAGTCCACATAATTGTTTTTGCAGAAATGTATCTGCATATCCATCTATACTCAGAAATGAGGAGTATAGCCCAATGTTTCTTTTCCCCTCCAGTAAGCACACAGAAGACAGGTCACATTTGCTGGCTATAAAATGCCATGGAGAAGTGTCATTTACTTGCAAATGGGCTGAATTTCCCTGCAGACCTTCCACAATGGGACAAAATCTGTCAGTTTTCCTCTCTTCTGCTGCTGCAGTCAAGGCTTCCAAAATCTTTTCAAGGCTGTAGCATGAAAGGAAAGGAAGCCAAACCAAAACACATTATTTTGACAGGTAAAGAGAAAATGTATGCTTTAAGCTTTACACACATTTGGTGGCATCCACACGCACACAAAGCCAGGCATCAGCAACGCAATTCCTTCTGCACAACCCATTTAGCTCTTCGGGTAACACGGCTGTTGGTTATTCTGGAAGTCTTGGCGAAAGATTGTTTGTGGAAGACTCCAACCTGCAGAGATGCCCGTTCAACAAACTGCTCACATATTAAAATAAAAACATTTTCCAATGCTGTCAGCATTTTCAGGACTAAGCATGAGGCCCCAGTTCTTTAAAAAATCTACTTTTAACCCTCATCTACCTGCAAATAAATCAAGTTTACAGATAACATGTGCATTCAGTACAGTACGTACGTGTTTTCTTCTCCAACAATGCATATTGCAGAAAGAAGTTTAACTACATCAGTCATCATGTTGATGTGCTTGGGATCAATTGCTTTGGCCAGTAATAGAAAGCTCCTCTCCTCACCCATTATTCTTTCCAAACCATACTAAACAAAGCAAAACAAGAAACGAAGGTTAACAGAACGGAGAAGGCGACTGTCGGCCAGATTAATTCATACGAGGGACAGGGAAGTTTTCATTCCGGCAGAACCCACTGGCGAATGCACCCCACCGATGGAAGGCCAGAACAGCCTTTGTTTCCCCAAAGCAAAGTGGGCAAGGAGCACCTTTTAAGGCGAAATCCAGCACCAAGCTTTAGGCACACAGGCCCTGCTACTGCATTCGTCTTTTCCATCTGCCCACCAGCAGACCATCTTACTCCCATATCCTCTCCCCCTCCTCCACACCCACCTGCCTCTCAGCCTCTCTCCCCACCCACTCACCCCTTTCATGCCTTGCTTCCCACCCCATCACTGCCCCCTGAAAACTCTCAGTTCAGTTTACTCCTGTCTTCACACAGGGAGCCTCCAATGAATCCAGGTTCCTTCCAGAAAGGGAATGAGTTCTCCCTTCATTGCGGCAGGAGACAAACTATCAGTGGGAATCTGGACATGTCCCTACTACACATAATGGGACTTACTCCAAAATAACTAGGTACAAGACTACAGTCTAAAGAAATGAGCAAATCAAGTTACTGACCTTGTTGTTCATAAAAGCCTTCAAACACTGTATGATTTTATGCTGTACCTTCTTCAGAATTTTATCCTGCCTGAATGCAAGAAATGTGGTTCGTAAATGTAGGTCCTTCCACTCTTACTAAACATATTATGTTTATAGAAAAGGTGTGTGTGGGGAAGAAAGCAGAGACCCTTACAGTTTTGCTTCAACCAGTCTTTCCAAAATGTCCAGCAGTAAGCCAAGTCCTTCATGTCCAAAGTTCTCAACCCAGCTGCAAGAAAACATTTCACTATTAAACAAAAAGGGTTACTTTTTTAATCCTGCCTGTCAAAACCTTTTAAGATACTTGGCTTGTCTTCTCTGCTTATTGAGTATGTCCACATACTGCAGCAGCTTGTTTCCTTCTTTTCAAGTGAAAGGGACCAGCAGTTTCCCCTTGGCTCTTGATAGTCACTGGACTCCATGAAAAGCACACCAACTAAATCCATGCCTAGTTCAGATGATACATTGCACTCTTCCATTCTTATCAGAATACCACAACTATGAAGTGCTACAAAACTTGAGGCAAGGGGAATGAAAAGAGCACATTTTTCCAAATGAGTCTGTTCAGGATTTAAACCCATCTGGAGGCCCTCCTCTTGGCCTCACTAATGCAGTTCTTCTCAGTGACCATCCCCAGACGCTGGAAGCCTCTGGCTGAGAAAGGTCAGGCTAGGCCCCTCTTCTGCTGACATTTTGCCAGAAGCCCGTTTTATTCAGGCAAGCCTGTGGCATATTACTTGGTCTGCTGCTAAATGGGAGTTTAATTGGGTTGCTTTCTGTTTGTCTTCAACCTGTGTCTTGATGTTTAATTAACTTCACATTATTCACAGCTGTTTTACTGCTAGTCATCTTGAGCTTTCTTTTCTTTGGTAGACAAGAAAAAGGTAAATTTATACAACCAGCACAAGAGTTTACATCCTGAAGTCAGTCACGAAAGGATCAGACTGAATGTCTTTCTGAAGCAGAAATTTCTTGCCCACATATCGGTGTTTGGCAGCCACTGGTCTGCACATGGGTTAGTACTATGGATATCTGCATCCATTTGGGGTTTTTTATGGCAGTTATTAAGCTGGTAGAACATCAGTCTTAGTAATGGACTGCTTCATGTTTGAGGGCCCCTTCACAATCATCTGCTTCCACTTGCAAAGCGGCACGTCTCTAGCTCCAGAAGCACACACTGCACGTAAGCAGGGAGTAACAAAAGTGCTCACATTCCAGTCCGGACGGTTACACAGTCCTTCACAGAGTGCTAAAGAATAAGTTGTGAAACGCACAAACGTGTGGCGTGCACAAAGTAATGTAAGCAATTTATATGCAGACACCACTATAAGGCACTACAGCTCACATTAACTGTTGATTTAATCAAATTCTAATTTTAATTCAAGAGACCTTTTGGCAACATCATAATCATATGGAGATTAATTTAGAAACAAGTGAATGAGCAACACAGATGAAGTACACCGGTTGCATAGTAATGCACACACGAAAGCACCTTTCTGAGCCGCTATGAAGCAAGCGTCAAACCCTCTCTCAGGAACAGGACAAACAGCAGCCATTTATCCTACTCTACCATTTCCTTGCAAATATATTTGGCTTGCCAGCACTTCTTTCCAGCACAATGTGTGGAATGCTACTTTGCAGAGCGTTTTACACTATTTGTAAACTTGGAGCACAAGTGGGGAAAAATCGAGATACCACTTAAGCAACAGTGACCACTGATAGGTAAACATTTTCCACCTTGGAAAGCCTGAACACATTTGCTTACGGAAGGAACTCGGTGGCGTACAAACATGGTTACAGGAGCTTACAGGTCAATGAAATACACAACCCAGAAAGCCATTTTTGACAGCTTCAATTACCTGACAGGATTGCTGGTCAACGACACTCGAAGGGACTCCAAGCAACTGGCAAGTTTTTCATCAGCTGCTCCAGATTTCAGTTCATAAATGAACTCTTGCGGGGAAATCCGCCTGCTACTCTTCAGGCTTCCCTGCAAGCAACCGTCAGTTATTGTAGCTGGTTTGTGCTAATATTCCAAGAATTATTTTTCCCTTTAATCTTTCCGAGTTGCACTCTTGTGAGTGACCGAACAGTCCTGCCTGCTCAGTGTCCTGGAAAGCGTCTGCCATCAAAGTGCAGTAGGTACCAGCCATGGACACTGACCACGCCAGGATGCAAATAGATTATTTTGCTACTTTGCATCCTATTTGACAGGTGTCCAACAGCAGGCTGTCAAAAGAAAACAAAGCTGCAAAAAGGTATTTGCTTGTGAAAGGGACTAGTGAGTATCTCACTCCCCCTTTACAGTGAGAGTTTCCAGTTCTGAAGTTAACACCTGAAGATTCTCAGTGTCCCCCACCTTCTCCTGAGAGGCTAGGTGTTAGGGAAAGGAGAAATGCTTCCCATCCATTTACAGGAGCATAAAGTCTGACAGCTGTTTAAGTTCCTTTTTTTTAACAGTGGTTCCCCTGCCCCCAAGCAGAGCTAAGTTTTTCTGACCGCAAAATACATAGCCATGACATCTAAAATTTGAGAAAGTAGAAAGAAAGAAACAAGAGGTCAAAACAGTATGGTACAAGCAGGGTAAATTATATGGGTGACCAAACCATCAGTTAACATGATCTGCTCCTATTTGCATCACTACTAAAGTGCAATCAGATGAGAAATTGATGATTAAAATAGAGAAATGAAAATTAAATGACACATTGCCATATGTTCAATGAAAGGCTATTTGTTTCTATTACTCTATTACAGTGAATTTCAAATAAACTTCAGAAAACCTTTTCAATTCCTTCCACTATAGACCCTGTATCCCATCACCCCATCAAAAACTTGAACAAAGTTAGTTTAAAAAATCATTTCATATCAAGGCATTTTATTTACCTTGATGTTCTAGTATTACTGGTGAAGATACAAACATTTTGTTCATGTGATGGATGGAGCTTTCCTTCTAAACAGTATTTATTTGTTCATTCATTCAAGTATTTCCTCATTTCCATGAAATTATACCCTCATTTCCACTTCCATACTGAGAAAGTATCAATCAATACTCATGCAGTCCTCTGTTAAAGGCACCAAATGAACCAGAAATGATCTTGAATATTAATACAGGACATGATGCTATGTGTGCTTAGGCAGGAAGCAAGTCCAACAACTCTCAGCATGGCATAGGATTGTGCCCCAACCTGCTCAAACTGAGAGCTTCAGCTTCTGAGCAAGAAGGATTAAATAAATAAACCAAAGCTCACCAACGTAAGCTTAAAACATGAAACCGCTGGAAGAGGCCATTAGCAGGTGTGGGCTGCGGAATCATCAGTACGCTGATGATACCCAGCTCTACCTCTCTTTTTCCACCAATCCAGGTGAGGCAGTGCCTGTGCTGAACCGGTGCCTGGCCAAGGTAATGGGCTGGATGAGGGCCAACAAACTGAAGCTCAATCCAGACAAGACAGAGGTCCTGTTGGTAGGCGGTTCGGGCTTTGGGGTGGGGGACCTGGATCTTGCCCTGAATGGGGTAGCACTCCCTCTGAAGGACAGGGTCCACAGTTTGGGAGTACTCCTCGACCCGGAGCTGACTTTGGAAGCTCAAGTGTAGGCAGTGGCGAGGAGCACTTTCCATCAGTTTTGGCTAATCCATCAGCTGCATCCCTACCTGGAAGACGACTGCCTAGCAAAAGTGATGCATGCATTGGTTACTTCCCGATTAGACTTCTGTAACGCGCTCTACATGGGGCTGCCCTTGAAGACGGTCCAGATACTTCAGATGGTGCAAAACAGAGCTGCCAGGTTGCTGACGGGGACTGGGGGTTGTTCTCACATAACCCCAGTCCTTCGTCAGCTTCACTGGCTCCCATTGAAGTCTGGGCCCAATTCAAGGTGTTGGTTATCACCTATAAAGCCCTTAACGGCTTGGGACCTGGCTATCTAAAGGAGTGCTTGTGTCCATATTTGCCCTCCCGCCCCTTGAGATCGGCGGCAGAGGCCCTTCTCTGGGAACCCTCTGTGAAAGACATGAGGAGGGTGTGTACCCGGAGGAGGGCCTTCTCTGTGGTGGCGCCCCACTTATGGAATGTGCTCCCCAGAGAGGTCCGCCTGGCACCGTTGTTATTTGTTTTTTGGCACCAGGCCAAGACCTTTTTATTTAAACGTTATGTTAATTAGTTTTTAATTTATTGATTGATTTTAACTTATTGCCTGGATGTTTCCAGTTTTATATATTTTTTATATACTTGTATTGTTATTTATTTTCTGGAAGTCGCCCCGAGGCTTATGCGAATGGGGCAGCATACAAGATTCCCAAATAAATAAATAAAAATAAATAAAAATGGTACCATGAGCTGGGTTGCCCAGTGGCATTCCTTGGTGATATCAGACATATTTTTTGCCAAACTGTGAATGTAGGTGCTGATAAAAAGCTAATCAGGAGCCTGAAGTGAACTTATTTGTGCTTACATTCTCTCTTCCCAGTTTGCATCTCATTGCCTCTCATTATTATTATTATTGTGCATGTATGTTTTGCCTGTTCCCTCTTAAGGCGGCTTCCATAGCTCCCTATTATCCTCACAACAACCCTGTGAGGTAGGGCGGAAGGTCTGTGAGGTGCCCCGAGTCATCCAGTGAGCTTCAGGGCCGCATGGGGACTAGAACCCAGACCCCGCCGCTCCACAGTCCACCAGGCTGGCTCTCAGGACGACACGCTCCCTTTTCTTTCTTCCCCTCATGCACACTCACCGCTCTCGGAGCAGTATTGACATACTGAATGACCATCTCCTTTTTGGTGCCGAAGTCCTTTTCTCTCAATGGAGCCTTGCGGTCTTCATTTAAATTCATGTCTTCCTAAGGGAAAAAAGGCAACACAGATAACACACTCGCCAGACTATGATGTCCCCATTCTGAGAACCAAACCATTTTCTTCTTACAAACCATTTCCTAGCAAACAGGAAAAGGACACTTTTCCTTAAATTACAGTTCCACTGATATGCATCACATTTTACAGAGTAACAGAAGGAAAAGCAAGCCTCTTTCCTCAGGAAATTTACAATCTATATTTCAGCAAAGAAGAAGACAGAGAGTGAAGACAGCAAAAGACAAAGGGAAGGTAACCACAAAAGAACATGCAGTGAAGGCAGCTATGCATATTTAACCATTTTTTCCCCTCTAGTAGGAGCAAAAAAGAAAGAATTATTTTGAGGTAGAACTGGGAATAGCAGTGCCTAGGATAGGATTATT